TGGGAGCGTTTCCCAGGGGTGGGGTGTGTGCTCTGGATACGTGCTGTGCAGCCAGAATGTTGTGTACTCAGAGCAAGGCAGCCCTTGCCGAGAGACATGTGCTGGTGTGGGGGTTCATTCATGCTGGTGACGAGCTGGTGGCTCACACAGTGACAGCAGATGTCTGACACACCTCCCTGCGGAGCCCACCTGCTCCTCAGCATCCCTCTCCCTGTCACAACGTGTGTGTATCCCGTTCCTTGGCTGTTCCTGGTGTGTTCAGTGGCTGGGCTTTCTCTTCCAGTGGCTTCTCTATCGGTACAGCTGCATCGACGACTCGGGCTTTGAAAAGTTCCTGCCCAGGGTTTGGTGCCTTCTCCGTCGATATCAGGTAAAGTCTCACCACAGCTGTACATCAGAAAGCCTTGGCAGCACTGGGAACTGAACTTGTCCTGCTCTGGGGAAGGGACATGGCTCTGGGAGCCCGGAGCAACACAGGGTTTAAACTGGGTCTGTTGTCTGCTTCCAGTATGCTGAGGTAACAGTGTGGTCTGGGGAGTGGTTGTAGTCTTAACACGAGGGTAAAGATTTTTGTGAAGGAAACCTTCAATAGCTCTTGACTCTGAGGGGCAGCTGAAGGCTCATGGGGGTACAAAAGAAAAATGATGGGTTTGTGGGGCCAGAGTTGGAGGAAATCTCTGAAGAGCATTCTTGGTACATGGAGGGACCTCCACGAATTTGAGGAAGGACGAGGGGGCCCTGCGTACCTAGAGGAGGGGGTGCATGGATGTGTGGCTCTGGGTTCGTGGTCAGTGAGGGGAGCAGCAGGAACAGCGAGCCCAGGCACAGCTCACCGGGGTTTGCTCTCCTCAGATGATGTTCGGTGTGGGGCTGTATGAAGGGACTGGTCTGCAAGGGGCACTTCCCGTGCACATCTTCGAAGCCCTCCACAAGCTCTTTGGAGTGAGTTTTGAATGCTTTGCCTCGCCCCTGAATTGCTATTTTAAACAGTACTGTTCGGCCTTCTTGGACACAGACGGGTATTTTGGATCCAGGGGGTGAGTCTCACATTCTCTTCCTCTGTGTCTGTGTGAGTGAGTGCCCATGGATGACTCAGGTCAAACTGAGAGAGATCTTTTGCCTCTTTCTCCAGCCCGTGCCTGGATTTCTTCCCTATAAGTGGCTCTTTCGAGGCAAATCCGCCGTTCTGTGAGGAGCTGATGGATGCCATGGTCTCTCACTTTGAGGTACATCTGCTCACTGGTGGGGTGGTGTGGGATGGAGCTGTGCCATCCGTCCTGTGCTCCCCATGGCAGCGCTGAGGGCAGGGGCAGAGGACGGTGACGGCTGCAGCACCACTCGGGAAGCAGAAGCGTTTCCTTTCCATAGGGCTCATTAGACACGTCATTGCTTAACCAGTGCTGAGATTGTTCCTTTCCTTGTTGCACTAGAAACTGCTGGAGAGCTCCAGTGAGCCACTCTCCTTCATTGTCTTCATCCCTGAGTGGCGGGACCCCCCCACGCCGGCCCTGACCCGCATGGAGCAGAGCAAGTTCAAGCGGCACCAGCTCATCCTGCCGGCCTTCGATCACGAGTATCGCAGCGGGTCCCAGCACGTCTGCAAAAAGTAGGCTTTGTTCTCAGATCCTTCTGGGAACGCGGCTCTGAAGCCGTGTGACAGAAATATCCTCTCCCAGGCTGAGATCAGTGGGAAGCAGGGAGCAGGCAAGGACAAACGCAGCGCATCATCACCCTGGGTGTTCAGGATGAGCAGACAGCGTTGTGAATTCCGTGTCTGCTTAATGACTGCTAGCAGAGCTTGTGAGAGATGCGTGCCTTGGGCACGAGTACAGCCGGAGCAGTTCACACCTGTGGTGCTGATCTGTGCTCCTCTGCCAGCCCTTGGACCCGTGAGCTGCTGAGCCACAGCAGCTGGGTGTCACTGGGGGAAGCAGAGGCAAGGGGCAGTGGGGGATCAGTCCCCAGTGGGGCAGGCTGACCCCTGCTTTGCTGCTGAGGCAACAGGTTTGAGCAACAGCTTGTTTAAGCAACAAGTGCATGAAAACTGAAGTTCTCCTTACCTGGTTAGGACTGATGACTCACTGTGCTGAGTCCCTTCGGCAGGGACAGTGAGGTCCCAGCACATGCTGGCAGAGAGCAGTGGGTCTCTGCAGCACGAGTGCTTCCCTCTGAAAGCTCAGGAGCCTCTGCCATACTGAGTGAGAACTGCCCCAGGCTGCACTATGCCTCCACTTTTTCTCAGAATAATGAAAAGAAGGACAGGGGCAAATACTTGTCTTAAGGATGGTGGGCAGGAAGAGAAGGAGCAGGTGCCAAGTGCTGGGGGCCAGGGGAGGTGCTGATGCCTGTGCTCTTCCCTTGCAGAGAGGAGATGTACTACAAGGCTGTGCACAACACAGCCGTCCTCTTCCTGCAGAACAGCGCCGGCTTTGCCAAGTGGGAGCCCACGCCAGAGCGGCTGCAGGAGCTCGTTGCAGCCTACAAGCATTCGGGCCGGACCCTCAGCTCCTCGTCTTCCTCCTCCTCATCCTCCTCCTCCTCGTCCTCCTCCACAGCGGACAAAGAGCGGGAGCTGGGCCGAGAGCAGAGCAGCAGCCGAGAGACTAATCCCAACTAAGGAGAGGTGCGAGGCAGCAGGGGAGGTGCCGGCGGCCCCGGGGCTGGCCGGGGCAGCAGAGACTGCTGAGTGTGCAGCACCGGCCCGGGACTCCTGCGCAGCAGCTCCACGGCGCCTGCTCCCCTCTGCGAACTGCACGCCGGCCCCCAGGAGCCGGGAGCGCCCGGCCGCCCGTCGGAGAGGAGGCTCCGCCACAGCCCTCGCCGGGGGCAGGGGAGCCCAGTGCGGCGCGGCAGGAGGAACCGGCAGCCCCGCGACGCCAGAGCGCCGAGGGAAGGGGCAGCCAGAGCTGGGCGGAAGGACGGCGGGACAGATGGAGGGACGGATGGCAAGCGCGAGTGCTGGGCGCTGAGCGCCGCGGCCGGAGGGGCCCCGGCAGGAGAGGGACGGGCAGAGCCCGGGGGCTCCTGCGGCCGGACCGGCCCCAGCACGGCTCCGTGTCCATAGTGTAAATAGTTCTGTCCGTGGCGCCCACGCTCCTGGCGGGGCTGCTCCCATCGCATCCGTGTTTTTTTCCCATGTGTGAGTCCCGTGTTTGCCGACACTGTGTCCTGGAGAGGGAAGGAGCAGAGGAGAGGAGTTTCTTTGGTGTGTAAAGACGTCTTTGCAGCTGTTTTGTAGTCATTGTGGTTTTTATGCGGAGCCTCTGGGCTTTATTTAACCTCCTTGGGTTTTGTTTTGTAAGGATTAATTTAACACCGCTAACCATTTTATTACTTTTATCAAGAAGAGCAAAGTCTATTTTTGATTTCTGTTTCCTAGTTCTTAGGAACATTAAAACCAGCATACAGCTCCGCCTGTGTCCATCCCTTTTCTTTGGCACCGAGGGTCTGTGTTCACCCCCTGTCCAGCCTCTGCCTGGGTGGAAGGTAGAAAAACATTGGGTTTTGTTTTTCTCAGGATGATCTGGCATCTGCCCTGTTCTGTATAGCCGTGATCTGGTGAGTTTTGTTTCCTGAAGACCAGTTTGAACACCTGAAGCAGCTTGACCATCCTGCTCTTGGCCGCTCTGGTGTGGTTTTGGTGCTCTCCCCTCAAGAAGCGCAGACAACTGGACTGCCCTTGGACCCCTCAGGGCAGCACAGCCAACCTCTCTTGTGGGGTGCCACAGCAGTGCTGGTGCCACAGCAGCGCTGGTGCTGGAGCAGTGCCAGTGCCTCTCTGGAGGGGCAGGAGTTGCCCACACACTGCCTGCTCCCAGGGGCTCTGCAGCTCTCCAAAGATTCTTTCAGCAGAGGTGAGGAGAGCTTTGTTGTACTTAAAGGACTCTCAAGACAGTTGGGAACGCTGGCTGCAAAGTGGCAGTTTGTAAAGCCTTTTTTTCCCTTTCATTCATTGTTTTGAGCCAAGACTGGATGTTCCCGAGGTGCAGGTGAGCAGAGACGTGCTGATTCTGGGAGTGTCCCTAACCCACCCCTTGGTCAGTCAGTCCACATGGAGGCCTTTGCTGCTCCCTCACATGAGGGACTGTTACCTGGTTAAGGATCCAGTGGCCGTGGTCTCACAGGGGAGGTGTAAGTGGCGTCAGTGGTCAGCAGCCCGGTGGCATGGCTGCTTCTAGAACGTGTCCTTAATCCAAACAGAGCAGGAGACAGACAGAAGGGTGTGTCAGGTTGACACTGGGAGTTTCAAGGGCAAGTAAGTGTGTTAAGCTGTCCAAGGGGCAGCTGAGGTGGGCAGTTGGGAGTGGTGGGGGGTATGGGCAGGGCTGGGGGAACAAGGCACACCAGGAGCTCTACCCCTGGCCTAAAAGTTCTTGGACTGTGCCAAACCTGGATGCTTGAAGTGAAAGGCCCTCATTAACGCTGCCCCCGTGGTGGTTGGTGCTGCTGCTGTCCTGCCTGGCGGGAGGGATGGAGGTGTGGGGGGTCCCTGAGTGCTGCTGTCCCCGGGGCTGCTGGAAACCTCCTGTGAGGGCAGCACAGGAGCCTGGGGGCGGATCTGACCGGGCTGGGGAGACACAACCTGCAGAGCGGGATGTGCCTGGGGCTCGGCCGTGCCCAGCACGACCCTGTCAAGTGCTGCGTCCCCCGAGTGCCCCCGACTGGACTGCCAGGGAGTGCCGGACCCCAGGGGCCGCTGCCGCAGTCCTCAGGCCGGGAAGGAGCATCCTCAGGGCTGATCAGGAGGGGACCGCGGCATGCAGGGAGCTGCACCTATCCCGCACCGAGCACTGCATAGACCCCTGCATTGTCTTCCCGCGGCCCGGCGGGGCCCGGTTCTGCCCGAGGCGGCTCCGCGGGGCCCCGGCCCGGCCCATCCGATCCCCCCCCGTTCGCCGCTCCCCGTTACCGGGCCAACGCCGCGGCGCTGCCGGCGGCCCCTGCGCCGCGCTCGCCCCCGCAACGCGGCGGGCAGCGCCCCGCGCCTCCCCCCATGGGGCTGCCGGGCCCGAGCCCGCCGCCGCGGAGCCCACCGGCACCACCGAGCCCGCCGGGACCGGCGCTGGGGACCGACCCTCCGCTGTGTCCCCACCGGGAGCCGCGGCGCGGAGCGCAGGTACGGGAAGGGGATGCGGTGCGGGCCGGGAGCGGGGGCGGGGAGTGCGGACCGGGAGCTGCTCTCCCCGGGAGAGGGAGGGGGATGAGGAATGGGGATGTCCTCGCCACCGGCAGATCGGGCGTCCGGAGCCGTCCTTGCCCCGGGGAGCCAGGGAACTGGCATGCACCGTGAGGGCCACGGATGCACTCGGGAGCTACCCCCCCATGCCGGTGCCCTCCCCTGGGAGTGATGTACCCCCCAGAAACGGGGACCGGGATGAGGGCGAGTGCCAGCACCGGTGGCATTGACTGGGGGTTGGAGTCTGGCCTGGGGAGGACCCCTCTCCCCTGGCCCTGCTCCCCCACCGAGCCCATGGGGCCCACCGGGACACTGACCGTGGGGTGCAGCAGGGCTGGGAACCCACCCGTGGGAGCCATCAGGCCCAGGACCTGCCTCCAGCCCTGGCTGACAGCATCTTCCCGCAGCCCGGGCAGCCCCCAGCACCCCTCCAGGAGCCATGACCCAGCCGGGCAGCGAGCCGGGGTCCTCGCCTGTGGCACCCGTGTCCCCCGAGCTGGAGTGCCAGATCTGCTACAGCCGCTTCGACGCCCGCGCCCGCAGGCCCAAACTGCTCCACTGTGGCCATCGCCTCTGCACCCGCTGCCTGCGCAGGATGGTGTCTCCAGGGGATGCATCAACCCCCCAGCTCCGCTGCCCCTTCTGCCGCCAGCACAGCCCGGTGCCCGGCGGGGACGTGCAGCAGCTGCAGGATGATGGTGAGGCCTTGGCGCTGCTGACAGGCCGCGAACGGGCCAAGAAGCGAGGTCCCCACCGATCTCCCGAGGTCCTCCTTTGCCCTGGCGTGCTGGAACCCACCCCCAGCCCCGACTGCCTGGTTGTCACCATCCTGGAGGTGCCGGAGGATGTGGCCCCACCGGAGAGCCTGGGCAGGCTGGAGGTGGTGCGGCTGTACCGCCCCACCAGCCTGGGTGCGCTGCCCTGCCACAGCCCTGGGCAGAAGTGCCGCTCCTGGGGGTGGCGAGCCGTCCCCCGCTTCATCCTGGCTGTCCTCTGCCTCCTTTACTTCAGCTCCCTGCCCTTCGGCATCTACCTCCTGCTCATTGAGCACCACAGCCTGGGCATCATCCTGGTCAGCCTTGTGCCCTCCACCCTCCTCCTCTGCATTGTCTACAGCCTCTGCCAGTGCCTGTGCCTGGAGGTCTTTGGGTTCCCCCACTCCTGACCCTGCCAGGCCAACCCCTGTGCCTGCGTTGAGGAGGGTTTGGGTTCCTTGGAGTGTCTTCCCTTGGGGTACAGGTGTTCCCTGATCCACAGCATGCTCTGCCTGGACTGCGAGGAGAAGCTCAGTGCCTGGTGCCTTCCTGTGCAGAACAGCACTGGAATTTCCATGTGGGAACCCACACCTGAGTGGCTGCAGGAGCTCATTGCAGCCTACAAGCGGCTGAGCTGGACCCTCAGCTCCTCATCCTCCTCCTCCACAGCAGACAAAGAGCAGGAGCTGGGCTGAGAGCAGAGCAGCAGCCGAGAGACTGATCCCAGCTGAGGCAGGGTGAGTGCTGGGGGCTGAGTGCCAGGGACGGGCAGAGCCCAGGGGCTCCTGCAGCTGTACCGGCCCCAGCACGGCTCCGTGTCCATAGTGTAAATAGTTCTGTCCGTGGCGCCCACGCTCCTGGCGGGGCTGCTCCCATCGCATCCGTGTTTTTTTCCCATGTGTGAGTCCCGTGTTTGCCGACACTGTGTCCTGGAGAGGGAAGGAGCAGAGGAGAGGAGTTTCTTTGGTGTGTAAAGACATCTTTGCAGCTGTTTTGTAGTCATTGTGGTTTTTATGCAGAGCCTCTGGGCTTTATTTAACCTCCTTGGGTTTTGTTTTGTAAGGATTAATTTAACACTGCTAACCATTTTATTACTTTATTGAGAAGAAAAAAGTCTATTTTTGTTCTCTGCCTTGGATCTGCCCTGCCCCCCAGGGAGTGCTCGCAGCACCACTGGCACTGAATTTCACCACATCCCTGCTGGTACATCTGCATCTCTACCAGCATCCCCACCAACACCCCTCATCCCTCCCAGTACCCCCAACAGCTCCCACAACAGACAGGCAACACCAGGAGGCCCAAGACAGCCACGTTTATTACCACTGTGTGTCCCTCCCTGCAAACATCTCTCACTCTTCTTGGCTGGGCAGCTGCCAGATCCCATGTCCATCTATCCTGCCATGTCCTTGGGGACAGGACACGACCACCCCAGCCCTACACCTGCTCCAGCACCACTGGCACCCCCGGCGGGCACCCGTCCTTGTCGGGGGGAGATGCCAGCATCGCCTCCACACTCCAGATCTTGGGTTTCTGGGGCTGCTTGCCCTGCCCAGGGCTTGGCCCTACTTCGGGGCTGCCCCCACACCCATCCTGCAGGGGGCTGGAGCTGGGAATGGGTTCGGTAGCTGGTGGGCCCCCCTCGCCCTCGCTGTCCTCGCCGTCCGAGGCGCCGCGCACAGCCCAGCCCGCCTTGTTCTCCTTCTTGAGGCGCCGGCGGGCGTTGGCGAACCAGGTGGAGACCTGGGTGAGGCTCATCCGGCTGACCACGGCCAGCATCACCTTCTCCCCCTTGCTGGGGTAGGGGTTCCTGGGGTGCCGAGCCAGCCAGGCCTTCAGTGCCCCGGTGCTCTCCCGCGCTGCCGCCGCCTTCGCCCGGCCTGGCTCCGCGGGGAGCCCCAGCGGCACCTCGTAGGGTGGGGAGACCTGGAGGGGCAGAGGGGTGTCAGGGTGGGATGGGGTGGGGGGGTAACAGGGCCAGAGGAGAGAGGGTGAGGGATGTAGGGGTTCCTACATCACTGTGGGAGGGAGCAGAGCTGTATCCCTCCTGTCCTCGCCCTTTCCCATGAGGATCCCGAAGTGCCGGGGTGCGGGGGGGGGGCAGGGGAATGCTGGGGAGGTGCAGGGGACTCGGGACAGCAGGTCCCCAGCCACCACCCCAACCACCCCACACAGCCCCATTCCTGGTCCTGGGAGGGTCCCATGTCCCATTCCCCCAGATCTGCAGCCCTGTACTTACCAGGGGTGTCAGGAGGCTCACAGGGGGTGGCAGGAGGCTGTACCCAGCCAGCATGGGGCAAGGGTAGGGGTAGGGGCAGGGCAGTAGGGCTTGAGGGGGTCCCTGCAGGGTCCCCCAAGGCCCCCCGCAGCTCCCCAGCTCTTGTCCTGGGCTCCTCTTGCTCCGAGGTGCTGCCATGCTGCAGGAGAGGAGCTGGGGAGCTGCTCCTGGGTGTTTTATAGCTGCTGGGGTCTGCAGTGACTGACAGCTGATTAGGGGGTATTAGCACCCATGAGAGCAGCAGCAGGATCTGGGGCACCCAGTACCCCCCCTGCTACTGTTGGGCAGGGACTGGCAGGGACTGCCCTCCTCGCCTGCCTGCCCCTGGCCAGGACCCTGTCCCCAGCCCCCCAATTCTGCACAGCCTACACGGCCCCCATGGATGGGGTGCAGTGGCACCCAGGGGCTGGTGCTCGGGATCCACATGAGCTCCACAGCCACAGGGACACAACACACCTGGGGCTTTACTGCAGTGCCAAGAGCATCAGCCCCGCCCATGACCCCAGCCCTGACCTGATCCTGGGGCGGGGGTCGGCAGAGACCCCCATGCTGTGGTGGGCTGGGTTGAAGGGCCAGGTGGACTCATGCCTGGCAGAACAACCTCCCATGTTGCCCTGTCCTGCTCCTCCTGTGGCTTGGCCAGGTCCTCACCCAAACCCCAGCACTGCCACGCCTGCCACTGGATTCCTGGCAGCAGAGCAGTGAAGGGGAAGGGTCTTGCAGCCCCAGGGACAGCTGGGGGTCCCTGCAGGCACTGGGGGGGGGCTCGTGTGGCTGGTGCAGTGGGGGCAGCGGGTGGGCAGGGCAGTGGTGGGCAGCTGTGAGAGGGGCCCCCAGAGCCCACGACCCCCCGAGCCGCCCGCTCCTGCCGCCGCGCCTCCCCGCTAAGACTGGGATTATCCCACAGGTTGTATCCGTCATTAAATACCGACTAATAACGCTCTCAGGATATTAAATATGTAACAAACCCGCTTAGCGCTGGCCAGGACGGGAAGGCGAAGGTCACCGGTGCTAATGAGCCTGGACACGTCCCCGGCTCCCTGCAGGCCCCAGCAACAGCAGAAGCTCCCGGGGCTGAGGGGCCAGTGCCAAGGGGTCCCAGGCCCCTGCAGCGTCCCCATGGCCAGAGCCCCAGCAGCACCTGGAGCTCCCAACATGCATCAGCTGGAGCTCTGGTCCCATCCATCCCACCGTGCCTGGTCTTGTGCCCTTGAGCAGCCCCAGGTGTGGAAGCCACAGGACAACTGAACACTGGTGGCTGGCTGGGACCTGCCCTGGCCACGGCCTTGCAGTGGCCCTATAACCTTGTCCCCATGGGACTCCTCCAGCCCTAATCAGTGCTGCAGCTCCACTTGATTAGATAATGGGGCTGTAATCTAGGAAAGCGCCTGTGGATTGCTGAGGCACACCCTGAACCCTGCTCAGCACAGCTGGAGAGGGAGGGCCACAGCCAGTCGCCGGCACACACAGCTGGACACTGACCGAGCCACAGCTGGGCAGGCACAGCCACGCACCAGCACCACTGGGCATGGACAAGGCTGGTGTGAAGACAGCGGGACGGAGCCACAGTTGGGATGGAGCCACAGCTGGGACAGAGCCACAGCCAGGGCTGGTCACCACAGGGGGCCACACACACCTCATTGCCCTGGTGATCAGGGGTTCCGGCCCACAGCCCCCACCCCTTCCTGAGCAGGACAGGGAGAGCCCACCACAGTGCCTGGGGATTGCACTGCCCTGGTCCCAGAGCTGTGGGGCTTGGGCCTCACAGAGGCTCTCCCCAAGGCTGGGTGGTTCCCGGCCTTTTTCCCCCTCTGTGGATAATCAGTTTAATGCAGGAGCAGAGAACTAAAACTCCGCGATTAGCTGTTATAATCACATGTAAATACGCCCAGACAAGCCGCTCAGGAGGGCGGTGTGGGGCTCGGGACAGAGTTACACGGGATTTAGGCTGTTTACCACTCGATTAATTTCATGACTCCAGCCCCAAGCTCACCGCTGTCCCAGCTGCCCGGCTCACTTCCCTGGAGTCAAGGTCACTCGGGCGGGAGGCAGCTGATAGCCCGGAGCGTCTGCCAGCAGTGACGGGCCCGGCGCAGCGCTGGGCTCTGGGACCCCTGTGCTGCAGCCCCAGGGGATGTGCTGGGGATGCTGGGCTGTCCTGTCCCTGCTGGCTGGAGCCTGGACTCCCAGGCAGGCACACACCCAGGTCTCTATCCCTTTTTATTCATAAGCATAGTCAAAGCTTGAGAATGTCACAGCTGAACCTCTCCCACAACCACCGACGGACCAACGCCAGAGTCCATCCCCTCTTCAGAAGAAAAATAGAGCATCTTCCACCTCTGCCTCCTCCTCCTCAGGTTTCTCCAGTCCAGAGCCCTGCTGCTGCCTGCCTGCAGGCCGGAGATGCCATGGGAGGGCCGGATGCTGGCACAGCAGGACCACAGGCCCTATGGCTGCAGGGAGCACGTGGCTGTGGCTGCACACACCTCTCACATCACACCACACAGCTGTGCCTGGCCCCATGGTTCCCCCAGGACCCTCATGTGCTGGGCAGACACCGATCCGTGTCTGCTCACACAGACAGTTCAGGAGAAGGGGTTTCAGACCATCAAGTGCAACAGGCAAAGAGACCGTCCACACACGGGCTGCCCCTGCAGCTGCTGAGCAGTCTCTGGGGGATGCACAGGCCCCCACGGGCATGGGGCTGAGCGGCAGCGTGTCCGTGTCGCTCCAGCTCAGGTGTGTCCCTCGCAGCCCTGACTCAATAAGGCAACTGCTGGCTGGGGCCGCTGCTGGCGTGGCCTGCCCAGCGCGGTGCCCAGCCCTGCCCGGTGCTACTCCGCCAGCGCGATCACGTCGTAGTGGATGCCCGGCTGCAGCTGATGGATCTGCTCCGCCGCTGCCTCAGTGCTGAAGACGCCCTGGGCCTGGGCCATCGCTGCATCTGCCACTGCTGCAGGGAAAGGGGGGTCAGCACCGCCTTGCAGGGTCCCCGCTCCGTGTTCCCCACCTGCTCCCAGGGGAGGGACACATGGCCACCTCGCTCCTGTGGGGCTCACGCTCTGTGGAGCAGGGAGCCCAGCTCTGGTTAACCCTGTTCCGGAACTGACAGGCTGGGATCAGGAAAGATCCGCCCTCAGACACCACGGTTTGGCAACACAACAGCAATCCAGGCTCGCCTTCCCAGCCCTTCCTGCCCAGGGAGCTGCACAGCTCCCTGCCAGCCCCAACCACCACTGCTGGCAAATCCAGCACTCCAAACCCTGGAAGGACTGTCCCCTTCGGCCCAGGGCTCTGCTCCTACCTGAGACAGCTGAGTGTGCTGCTGCTTCCAGCTGTGCCTGGGTGACGAGCTGCTGCTCAGATGACACAGGCATGTACTGGATCTGCACAGGAGAGAACAGGGGAGGCCTGAGGAAAGGGGCCCTTCTGGAGCTGCTCTTCCCACAGTCACCGCATTGAGATTCCAGCCCATAAGCACCCTGTTTCACATTGCCCTCTCCAGGCAGGCTCAGGGATCACCTCACAGCAGCCCCTCCCAGGCCCCTTACCTGCGACTCTGGGAGGAACTGGCTGCCCTGCTCGTACTGGATGTGGGTGATCTGACCGTCCTGTACCTGGGGACAAGCAGTGTGTTAGGGACTGTGGGTGTCCAGGCCCCCAGCAAAGCTGTGACCTGAAGTGAGTAAGCTGGAGGGGGCCCAAGGGGGCTCAGCCCCACACATGTGGCACCCTGTGAGCCCCACCCACCCTGTGAAGCTCACCTGGATGTGATGTCCCTCTGGGACAACAACATATTCCTGGGGAAGCAAGTGAGGGACGCCTTCCTGGGCAATAATGTACTGAACCTGCAAACACAAGAATTCAGACCCAGCAAAGATCACCACTGTCCACCCCACTCCCACCACAGAGAGATCTGTCTGTCTCCTATGTCTGTTTTCACCACCCCAGTGCCTCCAGCTCTCCCTGCTGACCCCTGCTGTCCCCACTGCCACCAGCTCTCCCAGTCCCGCTGGGCAGAGTCACCATCGCTGGGCCGTGTCCCCTCACCTGGTTGTCAGCAGTCACTAAGTGCTGTACTGTCTGTCCGTCTGCAGTCGTGATCTCCTGGATGTAGGCTGCCTCCTCCTGCAAGGAAGTGCCCTGTGTGGTCAGGGGAGTGGTATGGTCCCCTGGGAGGGAGGTTGAGGCTGAGGGGCCTGACTCACCTGGCTGGTGACGCTCTGCTCCTGCGTGACAAGGATGTGCTCCTGCCCCAGAGCCTGCTGCAGCCTCTCAGGAGCCAGCACGGCCTGCCCGGCCTGCAGAGCTGCTGCAATGCAGAGAGAGCTGCTGGGGACACCAGTGGGGACACTGCAGGGGCTGCCCATGGCCCTGCTCCCCAGAGGCTGCTCCTGACCCTGACCCCACTGAGCCCTGCCTGGCCCATGGGCTGGGTGAATCCTGCACAAGGTGCTGGCTGCAGGACACCTGCAGGTCAGCCCTGGTCACAGGGACACATCTTACTGTGCAGGGTGGCCAGGGTGTCCTCGTCACTGTTGAGGATGATGGTCTGCTGGGCAGCAGCAGGTCCCGGCCCCTTCCCCTCAGAGCTGTGCAAACGCTGCATGTGGAACTTGAGGTGCCCTTTACGGTTGAACCTACAGGAGGAGCAGAGCAAGGTGGAGTTTGCCATGGGACCCTGTGCTGTCTCAGACACAGCCCACAGGCACCACAGGCACATCCCTACAGCATGGCCCATCCCAGTTCCTAGCATGTTCCCATCAGTGCCCAGGTACTGAACCTCACCATGCAGAGCTTCCTTGGGGATGAAGCTGGGCCCACCTGCAGCAGGAATTGTTCCCAAGGGCAGAGTCCCCTCTAACAGGGGCTGCTGCTGGGGAAGGGCTGGCACAGTGAGCTCTGCAAGATCCTGTCTCTCCTCTTGAAGCTTGCAGAGCTCTGTGGGATCTCCCAAAGCAGTAACAGCCCTGCTGCATCACTCACCTCTGCCCACAGACCTGGCAGGCGAAGGG